GAGCACAAGAGCTGTTAAAGAATAAAATGAACTAGCATGCATTCCACATAATTTGGGCTCTTACATGTTTCTGTTGCCTCGGGGCAACATTAATTCTATCCTTTATGTCAACTTTGTTGAAAGAATTATATTTTGCCAAATATTTAAAACCTCTTCAAAAAAAGTAAATCAATATAAATAACCTAAATAAGGCTTCACTGCATGCTTGTGAAATTCATAGATATCTACACTATATATCTAGTTATGATTTAAAATGATTTAATCTTAAAATAAGGTAATAATAGTACTCATACCTCATGAGTTTGTTGTGAAGATTAAATAGGTATATATTTAATATATAGATACCACCGAGATGTTAATTTTAAAATATTTTGAATAGAAAATATTAGTAGTTTGAGCAATGGAAAATTTTAGATTGAGTATTGGAAAATATTCCATATGCCAATATATACAATTTTAGTTGGTTCCTTCAATAAGGTTTGGGTACATATATATTTATTTATGCATTTAATACCAAATATACCTTGTTCTAAAAACGGCTTAGAACATTTGAAAAATTAAATGATTTTTAAGGTGCTATTTTAAATATTTGTAAAGAATTTTTTGAATTGCTACTTTTTTTCCAGTAGCTTTACAACATACATTATGGAATTTTAGTTGGTTTAGTATATGTATAGTACTTTGCCGGACATATATGTTGAGAGATGAGTTTTCTATTTTTTCCCTTTTTATGCCAAATATTTTTGGATGTATTTTATTTTATTTTATTTTATTTTATTTTATTTTATTTTAAAGATTTTATTTATTTATCTGACAGAGACACAGCGAGAGAGGGAATGCTAGCAGGGGGAGTGGGAGAGGGAGAAGCAGGCTCTCCGCTGAGCGGGGAGCCCGCTGCAGGGCTCGATCCCAGAACCCGAGGATCATGACCTGAGCCGAAGGCAGACGCTTAAAGACTGAGCCACGCAGGCGCCCCTGGATGTATTTTAAGCATGATTTTTGGTGAAAGACATTGCTGAAATAGTAGAAAAAATAATTTATAGAGTATTTTCCATTACTCTAACAATATTTTCCATTACTTCAAAGTATGTTCAAAATTAATGTCTTCTGGTTACTTTATATAGAGGTTCCTCTATTTTAATGAACCCAATTATGATGTACTATATGACAGTTTTTGATTTGAGAATCAGACAGACTTGGCTTTGAATCCTTGTTCTGTTACCTTGAGAAAGTTGTTTAACTTCGCTGAGCCCAGTTTCCTCCTAGGTAAATAGGGATAAAACAAGTAACACAGGTCTATTGTAAGCATCATATTAGATAATGTCTGTGAAGCCATCTAGCTAGGGGCCAACTGATAACTAGCAATTAATCAGTATGACTCTCCCCTCTTCCCTTGACTCTAAATCAGCAGTTCCGAACAAGAAGTGACTTTGCGCGCACACGCGCACGCGCACACACGCATATACACACACACACACACACACACACACACCATCTTTCCCTTACAGCAGACATATGCCAGTCTCCGGAGATACTTTTGATTGTCCCAAGTGGAGTGTGTGTTACTGGCATCTAGTGGGTAGAGACTAGATTTGCTATTAAACATACTACAATGAACAGGACTGCCCTCCCAACCCCAACAAAGAATAATCTGGCCCTACATGTCAATAGCTAGAGAGGTTGAGAAGGCCTGTTCTAAAAGAATGCCTCCTTAATTTTAAATTCATGCTGGCATATTTTTTTCTCCACTAGTACCTCAGGGGCTACCTATAAGTGCTTTACATTAAATGGAAGTACTCTCAGCTCTCTCTCTCTCTCTCTCTCTAAAAAATAATGGTTAAGTAATAATCGCTCTTGTTTACTGAGCACTTGTTATGTCCGAGCCCTGAACTAAAATAAATGTTTTGTGAAATGTCACATTCAATATAAATCCTATGGTGATCCTTAAATTAATAGTGTAGATTTTTCTAAATGGATAATTATAACACTATATATATTTTATATATACCATTTACTTTAACAATGGCTTGAGTGTCAGAACAATCAGCACGTCTTCCAGTTCTCATTCCTAGATGTTGACTTCAACAGCTTGCTACACTGCAGTATCTATTCCGTCCTGTGAGTTCTACCTTGGAACTGTCTCTCAATTCCCTCTACTTTTCTTCTCCCGCTGCAATTACTTTCCTCTGGAACACCGCATAGTCTTCTGAGTTAGTGTAACCCCCTTCTCATTCAACTCCTGCCATTATACTTACTCTCCCTTCTAAACCATGTTCTTCCCTGCCAATTTCTTTCTAAAATAAAATCAGACAGTCACAGTCCTCTGCACAAAATCTTGTAATAGCTTCCAGGGTCCTCATGAACTAGCTTTATCTCTTTCCACCCCATTCTCCTACCCATCTCACCCAACAAACCGTGCAGTCTTAAAACCCCAGTAATCATGGCCCAAAGAATATTAATGCTCTTGGGAAAACCATGATTCTATAATCAAGATGAAACTATTGAGTTTATTAGTATTCTTCATGTGTTAATAAGTAAGGCAAGAGAAATTAAACCCTTGAGTAATTAGAAATGTTCTGTTGGTGTGTGTTGGGCCAGGCAACTGGAGAAGAAGAGAAGAAGTCATGGTTTTGGCTAGGGTTTGTTGTCTATACTTGTGTCAGGTGTGGCTATCATTCGATCAGGGAGTGGTGAGTGGAAGGAAGGATGGAAGGCAATGAGTTGCTGTCAGGAGGCCAGTAGGAAGAGGAGAAAGGGAGAGGAAGGCAATTGGGGCCCCTGCACCCTCTTTGCGTCGCATGGTCTCCTACCTGGGAGGAACGTAGTCACTCTCGTGATGTAAGAAAAGCTGTGGGAAATTGCTGGTGGTCCTCCTGCATGAGGGCTGACATAATTGGGTGCAGATGAATCTGTGAAATGATGAGATGAGCAGCACAAGTGCCTTTTATAGCCTCATAATTTGTGTTCTTTTTTTTTTTAGCCTCATAATTTGTGAATGTTGCAAACGCACATTAAAGAAAACGCATTAAAAGAAATCAGTTTTGAAACTTTGCATACAAACCTAAAATAGCTTTTCTGAGCTATGTCTCAGGACTAAAATTTGCAATAAATCCTCTAAATCAGATGCATCGGCATCTATCTGAATCAATCCATGGAAGGCCAAAAACAGTTCTACTTAACTGATAAAAATAATCGCTATAAGCTTTAATAAACACCTAGAACTAGTTTACAATCATGAACATATACTTCTGTATAGGAAGTACTAAGCATGTGGTCAGTAACTACTTAATGGGAATATTCTCCCTGATAGATCCTGTATTAGGTAGAAAGATCGTCTTATATTTAACTTACCTGCTGCTTTTAGAAGATACCTGACCCACCTCTATGGCTCTACCATCCTCATAACTCAAACAAATTGTTAAATTGTATAGAGGTTGTAGAGTCAATATATATTTTTTTAAAACAGAGTTCTCTTTGCAGAGTAACAGTCACTTCTGACCCTCAGTCTAGAGTTGAAGACCCCGTTTCTTATATACAGTACTTAATGATTCATTTGGGGAATTTTCTAGACTGCTTTTGACTATTTGCAGTTCATAGAACTAAATTTCGAATCTAATCTTAAAAGTAAGATGTGAGGGGCACCGGGGTGGCTCGGTCGATTAAGCATCTGTCTTTGGCTCAGGTCATGATCCTGGGGTCCTGGGATCAAGCCCTGCATCGAGCTCCCTGCTCATACTATATCCCAGAGGAGGGGCTCCAACCCGGGATCCTGGGATCATGACTCCAGCCAAAGGCAGACCCTCAATGACTGAGCCACCCAGGCATCCCTTTGGGGATGTTTTTAAATTTTTATTTATTTATTTATTTATTTATTTATTTGAGAGAGAGCACATGCACATGAGCAGGGGGAAGGGTAGAAGGAGAGAGAGAATCTCAAGCAGACTCCCCTCTGAGTGTGAGCCCTGAGCTTCGTCTTAGGACCCTGAGATCATGACCTAAGCCAGGCACTTAGCCAACAGAGCCACCCAGGCGTCCCTCAAGCATGGTTTGGTATGCCCTGTTGGACAAGGGCTGATGCTTAAGAATGATTGGAAACGTGGGACGCCTGGGTGGATCAGTCAATTAAATGTCGGCCTTCAGCTCAGGTCATGATCCCAGGGTCCTGGAATGGAGTCCCACATCGGGCTCCCTGCTCAACAGGGAGCCTGCTTCTCCCTCTGCCTGCCACTCCCCCTGCGTGTGCTTGCTCTCTCTCACTCTCCTCTCTCTGACAAATAAATAAAATCTTAAAAAAAAGGGGGGGCGCCTGGGTGGCTCGGTCGTTAAGTGTCTGCCTTTGGCCCAGGTCATGATCCCAGGGTCCTGGGATCGAGACCCGCATCAGGCTCCCTGCTCACCAGGAAGCCTGCTTCTCCCTCTCCCACTCGCCCTGCTTGTGTTCCCTCCTTTGCTGTCTCTGTAAAATAAATAAATAAAATCTTAAAAAAAAAAAAAAAAAGATCAGAATTGTACCAGGGAGAAAGTCATGCAGGCAAGAGAAGGCATGACTCCTACACAGATGCAGAAATGGCTTCAGCATTAAGGAGAAAGCCCCTGGCACATACCAGTCCCTAAATAATGTGTGATGCTGAGTTAGTGGGTATGGGGGGCCAGATCTACTGCCAGGGGCAGAACTGTGAGAAGCAAGGTTAGAGCAAAGGGGTGAGGCCAGATTACAGAGGCATCTAAAACTATGCAAGAAGTTTGGGAGAGACAGGATGAGAGGTTTGTCTTCAGTTAGCTGTAAACATCCTTTTCATTGCAATGCCTTCAAAGACAATCCAGATGGAAATTCATGGCCAGACCAAATGGTCAGAAATCATCATAAGAGCAAACATCAAACTTCTATGATCTTATTCTAATTTTATAAATATATATATACTCACATTTATTTATAGATATATAGATATATATACACATATAATTACTATAGAAAGTATATCATTCTCTTTCATTTTCAGCTCCAGGGAATAACATTTTTAACTAGAAACTATTGTCTGGTAGAGCTGTATCTGAACAACAATGCCATATTTGACATAGGAGGTATGTCTTAAATGGTTTCTGCTGATTTAATAGATTTTCAATTGAGTAATAACTGGTAACTATCATACTGCTAATGGTATGCAAAAATCTGTTTGAACATTTCTGTTGAAAATATGTGATGAAATCCATTGTTTTAAATGTTCTTATTTACATTTCATTTTGAAAAATGTGCTTCAGGTTACAGTGTTAATGTAATATTGTCATGAGACTTATTCAAAATGTAAAAGAATCTTTTTTTTTAAATAGAAGTTTTGCCATTCTCCTGCACAGTTAGACACAAAGTGGGTATTAGGGAAGCGAATTTTAACGATATTTGGGAGCATTAATAAACATAACTTTATAAATGGTCTTAATGTTTTCAATGGCTATAATTTTTACCAGCCAAATTCTTTCTCTTTTCACTCTGAGTTAATTTTACATGTGTAACTATCTCTAAGTTGACAATTTCAAGTCAGGTACAAAAGTACATGAGGTACTAGGATCATGAAATACAAAGAGATACAGCACAAAACATTTGCTTTAAATATCATGTATCATAGAGTCAAAATGTCGTAAATTTTAAGATCCACCATGATTCTATGTACCATGGAGAAAGAAATCTTGCCAATTGAACTATGATGTGGCTATTGTAAAGACACAACCCACTTTCATTTCTGTTAAAAGTGTGCGAATATGTGAAATTTAGAATCAACAAAAGTGATATGAATATGTGGCTTCCTGTTTTGTAAAGAAAATATTAAGCTAAGCAATTTGGGAGAAGGTGTTGAGTTAAGTGAGCAATTTTTCCCTTGATTGGCCTTATGAATCTAACACTGACAAAACAAAACACAACAAAAAGAAGAGTAAGGAAAATAACCCCTCTGAAATCAAACAAAAAAAAGTCATTGCTACAGAGAAAAAAACAGAAAACAGTAATAGTGGAAAGAAGTTGGCTCTACATGTCCACATCACACTCAATTATTCGAATTCTTGTGCTTTGTTGTATTCTTAATGATAAATCACATTATTCTTAATAATGACTCCTTGTACCAGCCGAAATGTATTCTTTGCTTTTGTTTAGTTAGCATGTTTAATTAACATTAAAAAATGTTTAAAATCTTGTAAAAAAATGTCTTTCAGGCCTGCACTCTCTGCCTTCATTGTACTTACTCCTGCTACACCACAATGAGCTAACAAACATTGACGCCACAGTGAGGGAATTAAAGGGGATGCCAAATCTGAAGATCCTAAGTATTAGTTTGTTTGTTTCTATAGCCATAAGTTAAAATAGTAATAACACAGGGCGCCTGGGTGGCTCAGTCGGTTAAGCGTCTACCTTCGGCTCAGGTCGTGATCCCAGCGTCCTGGGATCGAGCCCTGCATCGGGCTCCCTGCTCCGCGGGAAGCCTGCTTCTCCCTCTCCCACTCCCCCTGCTTGTGTCCCCTCTCTCACCGTGTCTCTCTCTGTCAAATAAATAAATCTTTAAAAAAAAAATAGTAATAACACAGAGGACAGGTGTCATTTTTTAGTTTAAAATCGATCAATGTTTATAACGAAATACTTAAATATTCTTTTTTTTAAAGATTTTTTTTTTATTTATTCATGAGAGACAGAGGGAGAGAGAGAGAGAGAGAGAGAGAAGCAGAGGGAGAAGCAGATTTCCCACTGGGAATGCGGGACTTGATCCCAGGACCCTGGGATCATGACCTGAGCTGAAGGCAGGTGCTTAACCATCTGAGCCACCCAGGCGCCCCGAAATACTTAAATATTCTTGAAAATAAGATTTAATCTTACTCTCTTTTAAAACATGTTGTTGCAAGAATAACAGGTGGAAAAAATGTTTTGAGAGATGACATGGCATGCCAAAGGGAAGTGACGAAAGCAACAAAGTTTTACCTGTTTAAATCTGTGTGTTTGGTTTTATCTCAGAAGTAAGTTTTAGCACACATTCTGTGATTCCATTTACATGACATGTCCAGAATAGACACACCTATGGAGATAACCACACTGAGCACTAACTATTTTTAAATACATTCTTGTTTGTCCAGGACTGGAGGACAGAGGGGCCTGGGGAGCCATAGCTAAAGAATAAGGCGTTGGGGGTTCTTCTAGGGGTGATGAAACTGTTTTACAATTGACTGCAGTGATGGTTGTGCATGTCTTCGATATACAAAAACATGAATTATATACTTACAATGGGTGAATCATATGAATAATATGAATTATATTAATAAAGCTGACACCAAAAGAAAAAAATTAAGTTTTTTTAAAAGTTTTCCAGTGGGTAAACAGCAAATTTTATTCATGTATATTGAATCACACCCAGCAAGGAGGTGACCTACATAGTGGACGAAAGTGTGAAATGGGTTGGAAAAATAAATAATACAAAGTTCTTGCTCAATAAGCTTATAATCTTGAAGGGTAAATAACCCATGCACGATTGCAACAGAGGATAAATGTTTCTGGGTGAACCAAGGGAAAAGACACTCAGACCGATGAGTGGGTTTCCAAATTTGAGAGTCGGGAGACTTGTTTATATAATGTCATGAAATAGATGTGGTTTTTTTCCTATTCATTTTCTATTCATTTCTCAGAATTGCCTGAAACAATGTTGTGCATATGTGCAAACTGGTGTTGATGGTGAAGGTTCTGATCAGATCGATACATAGAGTAATTATAGTTTTCGTATGCTTTCAGTGCTAATCAGGAACATCTACTGTGCGAGGAAAAATGACTCATGTGCTTATATGTAGATTGTTCAAACCCAAATATTAAAATTATACCAAGTTCATGGGAATTCCATGTTTTTTTGTTGTTGTTGTTGTTGTTAATCTAAAATCGTGTTGATTTTCCCTTTGGAAAGAAGTTGGCGACAGATATTCACAAACATACAATAATCTGAGTTGGTTCCCACATCCCACTCTCCCCTCAGCATATCCACTCAGGCCAGAAACTGGGCAGTTGGTTGAGACCATCCACCCTCCCTCACCGTCCTTACTCACTCACTAGTTACTATGTACCTATCACCAGCCTTTCTTCTCTGCTTCCCCCCCTTTAAATGGGTTTTCATTATCTCTGGTTACTTCCCATCTCGTTCTTCTCAGAGCACAGGTCCAAGGGGCGCATTTCTATTGACTACACACAGGATGATGTCCCCTGGAGCTGGCAACACGGCCGCCTTGCCACCTTAGACATCTTTTAACATGCAAATAATCCCATGCTTATTTTTGAAACGTGATAAGGTCTCTGAAAGACTCAGGACTGGCCCGTGTACTGGAATTACCCAGCCGTTGTGTGCTGAGCAAACACTTCTGTGATGAAAAGACTGACTATGCTAGCTCTGGAACTCTCATGTATCTTCATTTTTCCATAAAATGGGCTACTAGCTAGCTCTCAGGATTACCTCAGATATTAAGCTAACTCTGTAAGACATGTTTTTAAAGAGCATTTCTTGACATTAATGATATTTTGAAGCAATGACAAAAACAAAAATGGTTTTACTGTGGATTATGTAAATTAGATGATGAATTAAGATGCTCACCAACTAGAAAGTCTGCTAAGTAGTAAATAGATTTTAACAATGTAACTGACATTTGAAATAATAATCGTTATAACAACAACATATTTGAATGTCTTTCCTGTTGAGAAAATGCTTTCTTATTATAGTCTCATTTAAATCTTCACAGCAATCCTGTGATGTGATTAGAATGATTTCCTCTTGAGCGGTGGGAATGCAAGTCTCTGAGCTTTAACCAAATGACTAAGAAATGTCAAAACTTAAATGCACGCCTTGTTTCTTTGTTTCACATTTATGCATTCACTTGTTTAATAAACATTTATCATTCATTCATTCAGTAAGTATTTATCATGCATTCACTACGTCTCACTCTAATACATGGGGACACAGAAGTCCCATGGTTTGTGGTTTTATAACTTTCAGCCTAAATACTTTTAGAGAGCTGAAGGAGCTTGATATGAAACTAATTGGATGATGTGCTAAATGTAAGAACTCAATAATTTAAGCAAATTTATTTTACAATACAAGATTTGGAAGTTAGGAATCAAGGTTGTCCTATCATAGTCAAAAGGATTATGCCCTGAACGAAGGTGCCTGGCCCGGGAGTGAGCGGAGTCTGAAATCCAGTCCATGCCTCCCTTGTTAAGCGTGTGTGCATGAACACAGAAGTGTGTCAGTCCTGAGGTGGGGTACAGGAGTGCCTTTTCTAGTTCTCTGAAAGGCTGTTCTGCCAGCCTGGTAGTATAATGTCCCTTATCATTACTTGTCACAACAGTTTAAGTGACCTCTACTTAAAATCATAGTGATTGTGGCAGACCACCTCTGAGATGTTTCCTGTCCGTAACAGAATCACCATGATTCCTTCAGAGGCTCTTCAGGTTCTCCTCTCTCTTCGGTCTGCAGTCTCAGTTCATTTGAGGAGGAACATCGGTGTTACAGCAGTGGCATTTAATAAGGAACTTGATCCTGTACAGAAACTCTTCGTGGACAAGATTAGAGAACACAGAACTAAGCGACAGGCGTCTGGAGGACCCCATGATACTGGCCCAGAGTACCAGCAAGACCTAGAGAGGGAGCTTTTTAAACTTAAGCAAATGTATGGTAAAGCAGACGTGAATACGTTCCCGGACTTCATATTTGAAGATCCTAAATTTGAAGTCATCGAAAAACCCAGTCAGTCCTGAAGAAAGAATGTAAAATTTATTTGGTAATTTGTCCTAGATTAGTTGTACAACTGTATCAGAATAAACATACATTTCTCAGCAATAAATAAATAAATAAATAAATAAAAAAAATAAAATCATAGTGATTGTAATTCAAGTTACATAATTACAGTGGTTCCAACTGAGAATCTTTGTAGCGAGATCTTTTCTTTTGAAATGGAGCGAATGCTCTGTCCAATTTCCCAAAAAAAGCATTTTTAGAAAAGTTTTGGTAGCAAATAATGCACACTGTGAACACTTGACCCATTTTGGTTAAAGATATTATATGGGAAAAAGGTTCCCAAGTACTAGACTACTAACTGCATTTGGGCAGTAATGTGCCCAGATTCAGTTTCTGTGAGCCTCATTTGCAATCACGGATTAGATTCAGCTCATTAATTGAGAGATCCGTGCACTTTCAAGTGCTAAAATTTTTGCCTTTTCAAGCCCTAAAACCGTATAAAATGCTAAAGTGTTGTTATTATTCCACTCCAATTACAAGGTCTTCAGAGGGTGAGAAAATAGCCTGGAGGGGAAACCTTTAATCCATTTCAGCATTTTCCCCTCCACTGGCGTTTATGGGGAGGATTGCCAAGAGATGGCCCAGGAGACACAGGGCTGGGAGCTTCAGGGAGGCCTAACCCAGCTGCGGAGTGTGAGGTCCTGGAAACTGAATTCCCGACTTCCAGGCTGAGTCAGGAGGGCCCCACCTCTTCTCTCCAGGCGGTCTACCTTTCCACACCCTTCCTCTCCACCTTTGTTTTCCTCTTCCCTCCCTTTCTGCAAAGTCTTTCTAAGTCAGGATCTACTTCCTGGCTGATGACTTTCCCTGACCTCCCGTCTCTCTGCCTCTTTCCCAGCACATGGGGAACACACCACCACCAGCAGCCACAAAATACTTACATCCTCCTGTTCCTAAAGTTTTACTCTCCTCATTTCTCTCAAGTTTTCTTTGTTTCATTAAGCTCCACTGTTGGAAAGTACACTTAGACACCTGCATTCCTTAATTTTTTAGAGTTGCTTCCTAGCAGTGCTTTGAGGATTCACCATAAGAGACAGAGTGCCCCTTTCAGGAGAGGGTCCTCCATTTTCTTCAGGTTCTGCTCTTAAATGTTTTCTTTCCTTCTTCACTTAGCCCCAGTCCACTGCTGACGGCAAATAGCCGGGGGCTGAAGAGAGACACTGAGACCAGGGTGGGACTATGATCTCAGCAGTCTCTTCATTTGAGCCTCTACCTGAAATGCCCTTCAAGGTGGGACAACTCCTCCCTAACAACAAAACAGAACAATCACCCAATAAAAAGAGCCAACTGGGTCTTTGCTCTTTGTGTGGAGGAAGAGAATATTCTGACCCCTCCAACTCTCTTCATCGCCTGCTTTAGTCCAAGCTCGCCTTTCAAAAATCGGGGATGATTTCTGCATTCAGTACAAGCATATGGTGTGCAGTGGCCCACAGATTTTAAAGCAAGATGGTGGTAACAATGGAGATGCTGACCTTATTAAGTAACCTTGAGCAAGAACCTCAAAATCGTAGTGTCTGACCGTTGACAGCTAAACTCACTCCTACAGGCTGTTCTGCATAGACATAGAACACAACTGCTTTTAACTTCTCTGTATCATTTTCCCCATCTATTAAAATGGATGTTTTGGGGCACCTGGGTGGCTCAGTCGGTTAGGCATCCGACTCTTGATTTCAGCTCAGGTCATAATCTCAGGGTCATGGGATCAAACCCCGTGTCAGGCTCCGTGCTTAGCAGAGTCTGCTTCTCTCCCTCTCTCTCCCTCTGCTCCTCCCCATGCACTCTCTCTCTCAAGTAAATAAATAAGTCTTTTTTAAAAGTGGATGTTTTGGTACATTATCAATCACATCCACTTTCTTCAAAGGCGGTCTTAAACCATCATTTAAATGATGGTTCTTAATTTAGCTTTTAAAGTTTTAAAAAATTGACTGAAGTCAACTGTTTAGATTACTTTTTTCTCCTCTGTTTCAATAATAAGTAGCTTCATACATGTGACTCATGTAATTCAAGCTTGTGCAGTAAGGTAGTACAGACATTTTGATATATTATTGGATAGATGTAATTTGCTTAGACTCAGAATCCCAAATTAAGATAAGCAAGACAGTGCTGGCGCCACCGAGGTATACTCTATAAGTAGCCTAGAGGGAAAGTGGATTAAATAGTATTAACCTATTGAAAGTGAAAGTGTAAGCAATTTCGCTTCATAGTTCCTAAAGGAATGTACCCATACTTCACGGAAGGCTTTCAGAACTTTCAGGCACAGGAAACCGATTTCATATCTGAGAAACTTAATTTATGGTAATTTTATAGCATAAATCCAAAACGTTAAATGTTTAATAGTACAAAGCGGGGGGAAGAGTTGAAAATAAGATTACTTCTTTCTAAAACTTAAGAGCAAGGAGAAAAGTGAAAAATCATAAAGGTGAGATGCCTCTCAAATTATTTAATTCTATTTTTTTAAGTTAATTTAAGCAGAGGCCGGGCTAACAGCCCACTGTTCTGACCTGCTGTCCCGTAGATTTTACATTAGGATGAGATAAACGGAGGGCCACAATAAGCGCATCAAGTTTTCAGTATTGGGGACACGTTCTTAATAAGTCATGTAACAGCAGTAAATCTAAATTTGATGTTTTGTTTCGCTGAAGCTAGAAGGTTTTCAATTTACATAAAGAAGTGACTTAACTAAAGACTAGGAGAAGAAGCCAAGAAAAGAAATGAACTAGGAATATTCTCAGAGGGAAAAGAGTTATGAAGGGGATGCAAAGAGTGAATGTCATTGGTACATGTCCTATGAGCATCATAGGCAGACTCGACTCCCGGCTGCTTGAACGCACAATAGGGTAATGAGTTGTCAGATGTGATTCTCCAACACAGCAACCGTAGAGCAGACTTCTGCACTAAAGCCTTTGTGACTTTTTCTTCCTCCTGAACTCTCATTAACAACGATTATGTTTTGCTTTTCCATCACTGAAGGAGGTTCTTTTCTCTTTTTGGCTCAAACTACAATGCATGATCCCTGTGGATCTTTTAAAATCTGTCCTTATTACTGGTTTAATATACATCCGTTCTACTCTCCATCCAGTAGTTATAATTATTGGTTACCACTTTAAATTCCTTCCCTTTAAGATTAAAATGTAAACCCTTTTTGTCACTCGAGAAATCTTGCGAATCTTCCATTTCATTGTTCCTCTCCTTTCCACCACTGCATACACATTCCCTCTTTTTAAATTCTTGGTTGCTCCTGGCTCTCCAGTTTCTTTTATGCCTTCCTCATTCTGAGAGCTTTTGTTTATGAGCTACCAGGTGTCTTCCATTGCCTGATTTAAGTCCTTCTAAAGCTCAAGTTTTCCACAGGGAAGAGCGATATGTAATGATTTCATTAGCCAGAAAAGTTTGTGTTTATATGATAAATATCAAAATGTTTTATAATCTACAGGGAAAACATCTACATGATTAACTTTTTCAGTTTTTAGCAAAAATTCTTGTGCTCTAAGCACGCCCCCGTCTTCTTTATGTTGCCAATTGTTCTTTCCTGGGCTTCTAATGATTAATATTTTCGTGCTTTTATCAAGCCTCTCTCTATTTTACAGTCAAACGTCACAGCACTACTCCTAAATTTAATATGTGCCATAAATGAGCCCCATTCCGTGATGTGATCATACAATGGCTGGAACTCTTTCTACTACTGCCACCTAGTGGTTCTCCTCCCCAGACGTACTTTCCCAGAAGTGTCTGGAAATTGCATGTAGGCAGAATCCGAGAGCTAAAGATACCCACGTGGCAATCATAAAAGTGTTATTTCACATTGTATTAAAGTAACCCTGTTTAATATATCTAGGGAAGAACAGAAAAGAGACTTTACTCCTTCCCTAAAAATGAAACTCTCACGACTTATAGGTGAGGGTTTTTAGAAATGTACCTACACGCGGACACGTAGGGCGTGTGATGTCAGCCACACCAGGAGCTCTTCCACCTGCACTTGCCTCCCACCTGCAGCCACCCGCAGAGACAGCATGATTCATTAGCGATTCCGGCTCCTGAGCGAAGGAGTCAGAGGCACGTGCGTCTGGCCAGAGGGAGACACGATGCAAGATCAGCACCTGCTCAGCTCAGCTCCTGCTGAGATCTGAAGCGGCTACTGGCCTTTACGTACTCGGAACTCTGTGCAATAGTTTTAAGTGAAGAAAGAAAACGATATGAGGTCAGTGTCCTGCATCTCTGTCCATCTCCACACCGCACCTGTGTGATCTTTGAGACTGGAAGAAGAGAACCAAGTGAACAAATGAAAGAACAGCATCAAGACCTCCACAGAAGGGTCGCCTGGGTGGCTCAGTCAGTTAAGCGTCTGCCTTCGGCTCAGGTCATGATCCCAGGGTCCTGGGGTCGCTCCCCGTATGGGCCTCCCTGCTCAGTGGGGAGCCTGCAGCTCCCTCCGCTTGTGCTCTCTCTCTCTCTGTGTGTCAAATAAATAAAATAAAATAAAAAAGACTTCCACGGAACTGTTTTCTTGCTCTTCCTTTACTAATTAACTTATGGACATGTTAAAATTTTCCTCGTTGGTGGTAGATTTGGGTCAACACTATGTCCCCAGTATCTTGCACAGTTCTTCGTATATATATAGTAGGCATTCACAAAATATTTGTTGAATGAATGAATTTCACAAATGGGAAATAAGTGCTGCTCTGAATAAGTGAGATGAGTGGGGCCACTGGTTTGGTCTATGAAGCAGAGTTTTACATGTTCATACGTTTTGTATTAATTCTGCAATTTCCTATATTTTATCAAGTGATAAATGAAACCAGTTTTGAAATCTAACATCTTAATTTGGATTATTTCTTTGCAGCTCTCCACCAAAACCCTTTGTGCCAATATAACCTGTACCGTCTATATATAATCTGCCACCTTCCAGAAGTAGAATTTCTTGACCGAAAACGTAAGGATACCTCTTGCAGAGAAATATTTGAAAGGCAGTCTTATAACTCACTAGTTTAAAAATTCTGAAAGTCTTTGAAAATAATTCTCTTTGTAAGTGAAAGTTTTTCAATGATTTATTTTTGAAATTTTTGTTCTGTAAAATTTGCCCTAGGTTAGGAATTCATTTCTCTTGATCCCTGTATTGAAAAGGCCATCTAACTGAGTGTGAGAATAGGTCTCCTCATCCTGATTTTGACATGAATGTGTTGAATGCCAAATCATCTATTCCTGGCATTTTAGTGTCTTATTTCAAAAATGAGAGAATTGGCCTAAAGCTCTTAAGGCTTATTTAAGTTCTAAAAATTGTATTCTTTGAAATTCTGTAAATATATATATATATTAAAACATATATTCAATAACTTCTTTATGAATACATCTTAAACATTGTAGATCAACTAGTATGTCTGATTTATATAAGCCACAAAGATAATCAACCTCACCTCATTACACTTTACATTTTGGGGGAGCCTCTTTTACCTCCAAGTATATTACCCATCTCTCTACCTACCTTTCTATCTCTATAAGTTTGAACAGTCTTTTTTTTTTAAAGATTTTATTTATTTGACAGAGAGAGACACAGCGAGAGAGGGAACACAGCAGGGGGACTGGGAGAGGGAGAAGCAGGCCTCCCGCCAAGCAGAGAGCCTGATGAGGGGCTCGAACCCAGGACCCCAGGACCATGACCCGAGCCAAGGCAGACGCTTAATGACTGAGCCACCCAGGCGCCCCTCTTTTTTTTTTTTAAGATTTTATTTATTTTGACAGAGAGACACAGCGAGAGAGGGAACATAAAAGGGTGAGTGGGGGAGGGAGAAGCAGGCTTCCCGCTGAGCAGAGAGCCCGATGTGGGGCTCTATTCCAGGACCCTGGGATCATGACCTGACCCGAAGGCAGACGCTTAACGACTGAGCCCCCCAGGCGCCCCTATAGGTTTGAACATTCTTAATAATTAATTACTAACTTCCTAATGATGATATATAAAACCTACATTTATTCCTGTTATTCCTCACAGCCCTGAGGAAATGAAGGAATGTATCAGAGTTGTGATTTCAATCATCCATGGTGATGTGTTAGAAAGTGTTTGGGGTGCGTTAGGAGTATCTGTGCCTTGTGGCACGATGGCATATATTGAGCATCAGTAAGATTATGGAAATAACTGTGATTGCCCTTCACGGTTTTGACGGGGTGTTCACATATAGCATAGCTCAGATAAACACATAATTGAAAGTGTTGAATTGTATTCTGAAAGCCTCTGCATCTCTATAATGCTATGCAATAACATTACTATTTGCATTTGTCAGAAGTAACAGAAGACGAAAGAAGAGCAATGATTACCATTTTTCACCATGAAAGAACTCATATCATTCAATCAATAGCATTCAGAGGAAGAGTAGATGCCTCGTGGAATCCTAGAGCACCATTTAAGCAAAAACCAGCCCAGAGAGTACCTCCAGGTATTTTGAAAAAAGAAGAAAAATGAAATTAAAATTCCTCAGACTTTGGCTAATTTGATTGTAATAGTAACTGCAATTTATAATAAGCAAAGCACCTACATAGTAAAATGAATATTTTCCAATTTTATTAGTCTAATTAAAGCAATACGCAATTTTATCTTCATGTGTTTAAATTATTAAATTAAGTGAAGTAATGTGATAACAATGAGATATTATCTTGAAGTTCTTCAGTATCTAACAGGCTCAGTAAATAAGCTGTAGTTGTTACTATTACCACTATCACTGGACAATTTCACCAATTAAAGGTATAAGTTGTTGATAACATGGAAAAAAAATACTAAGAAGAAATAAAGATCATCTGCAATTCCTTCACTCAGAAATAATCACTGTTAATGTTTTGGTTGGATTCATATACACAGTCATCATATATAAGTATAACTTGAATATCTTCAGTGATGTTTCATTTGTTGGAATTGAATTTCTTCTATGTAACAGAAATCCAAGTTCGATGACTTAAGGAAGCAGAGATTTTTCTCACACAGCAAAGAGTACAAAGGTAGGGTATTCAGTGCTAGTGCAAAGTTCAATGATATGACCAGTGTTCAAGAAAATATCTATCTTTTATTCTACTCTAAGTGTGCTTTTCGGTTACAGGGTGGCTGTTAAACCACCAGGCATCACAGGATGTTAAAAAAAAAGTGCAAAGACAAAAACCTTCCCTCGCAACACTTTGCCCCAGAGACAAACATAGGTTTGCAAAAAATAAACCAAAAAAGATTTTCTAGAAGTGAAGGAAAAAATGTGAATTGGGAAATAATTTTGAAGAAATTACCCAGAATGCAGACTAGAGAAAGCAAGAAATAGAAAATATTAGTTAGCTGTTGAGACAAGGAAACACTGGAAACAGAAGGTCCAGTATCAGCTTATTTTTCCTGCAAGGAAAAAATAGAGAAATTGGGCAGAGGGTGATGTTTGAACTGATAATGACTGAGGATTTTCCAAATTTGATAAGCTATGAATCCTTGGATATCCAAAGACATAAATAATGTACAATGATGAAAATCCACACCAAAGGCAAAATGATCTAAAAGTAGAATGCAAATGGACATTACCTATGAAATAACAATTTATAGATTCACAACAAGCTCCCCAACTGCAATTATGAAAGTCACAAAACAGCGATCCAAGACCTTTAAAATGCTGAGGAAAAGTAATTGTCAACCAAAACTTCTACAACTAGCTAAGTTAGTCAAAAATGAGCAAGAGATAAAAAAAAAAATGTCAAAATCAAGACTTTCCCCTCAACTTTTTAATGAGAAGTTTTCCTAATATAAGAAAACTTGAAAGAATGTTAAATACCTACATATGCCCATGTATAATTTAATTATTAACATTCTGCCATTTTCACCCTTCATATATGAGGCTTTGCCTTTTTATTCATGAAGGACCCCCGCAGAAGATTCTAGTTACATCTGATTGGACATCACCAAACTCAGTGTAAACTGGAAAACATCAAAATACCACTGAACCGTTTGAATGTTTCACTGGTAGACATCATGACTCTTCACTCCTAAATAATTTCGCCTATAAGTTTAAAAATAAGGATACTCTCCTATATGCCCACAATGCCACCATCATACTTAAAAAAATACTTTTTGTACTCGTATTATTTAATATATAATAATATTCAAAGCTTCCCAGTTGTTCCAAGATGGTTGCTATCTGCTTTTTCAAACCAGAAATCAGTCAAGGTTCATAATTACATTTGGTTGTTATGGACCTTTATTCTTTTTAAATTTAAAGTAGATTTCTAAATTTGTTTCCATGCCTTTTTTAGGGACTCGGCCAGTTACACTGTAGAATGCATCAATTTGTATGATTGTTTCTACGAGGTGTCATTGAACTTGTTCCTTTAGCGACTCCATGTCCCAGAGAATGGAAGAAGTGTCTGTAGGACATGTTCTGGATGCAGAAGCGTGTAGTGTAGCACAGTGGTTCTCAAAGTGTGGTCCCCAGACCAGTAACAGCAGCATCACTTAAGACCTTGTTACAAATGCAAATTCTTGCCCCCAAAGAGATCTACTAAATTAAAAGCTCAAGGATGGGACCCAGAAAGCTATGTTTTAAGAAGCCTTTCAGGTGATCCTTATACACATGCTAGTTAAAGAACCACCAGTGTAGAGGCAAGAGCACAAGCTTTGGGATCAGATTACCCTAGGATTGAATACCAGCTGTGTTAGTAATTAGAAGTTTTATTAATCTGGACATTAATTTGCTTCAGCTTTCTGATTTTTAAAAATAGGGACCATATCTTCCTCTGGCTGTGATGACACTTAGTATGGAAACATTGCAACACCTGATCAGCCACCTATCAAGTGCATGATAAATTGAGCTGCTCTTAGCCTCGACCTTGGTTTTCCTTTAACTTCATGTTAAGATGGCGCAAACTGAATTTTATCGGATTAGTGCAAGTGAGCCATGCCGTGCTAGGAAATGACTCTCTGGATAGAAAATCTCCACTCCTAAAAATAGCTTACACAATAACAAGTAATGTAAGACCACCCCCTCTGTTACTCAGTGCCACAGTTGTTACAGGTGTGAGGAGGACCGCCGATCACCATGTTTAGCACTTTTCTTTGGTGCAACCAGATTGCTGAAAAAACTATTAGCATTTTATTCTCTTTACTACTTTTCCGTATTAAGCCTCCAAAAACAAAATCAGAGAAAGAAAGAATAGGGAGAATGTTTTATTGCATTTGAGAGTTGTTCTTAATTCATAGCTATGTTGACTATAGCCCTCCTAAAAATTGGCATGACTCTAATCTTCTCATTTCCTACAAAATGCCAGTATAACATAGCAACTAAATAGTATTTTTATTCCAATACTTTAGCTTGGCTTACTTTAGCTTATCTTAATAGCTGACCATGTATAATGAAACTAATAAAACCCGCTATGTAGGTTTTTAAAATTTGGCTTATAGTTTTATAGTTTCTATATTTGCTTTAATATAAATCTCATCTTGCTGTGACATGAACATTTAGGATTCTGAATTCTTTTACTGGAAAGAAACCATACCTAAAACTGTTCATAAGGCAATTTTAACACCACATTTTGATTTCATTATCTTTAATCTTAAATTGGGAAAGAAACCAATTATATTCAAATAGCTTGAGAAGCAAAGGTCAACTTGGAGTTTCTTCAAATCCCAGTTATCCATACTCATCAAATACATGAGTAAAACACAGGCACCTGTTTCCATTAATGTCCTTGGTGCTTATTGCATGATAACCAATAACCTCAGAATCAAAATGCTGTGGGCTTTTATATGGCTTTAAAGAAGTAGATATTTGCAGGTTTCCCACCAGCTACCTAAATGGGGAAAGACATTAAGGGCGGATTAAAAGAAATGAAAATAGGGGCAACTGAGTGGCTCAGTCGTTTAAGCAGCTGCCTTCGGCTCGGGTAATGATCTCAGGGTCCTGGGATCGAGTCCTGCGTTGGGCTCCCTGCTCAGTGGGGAGCCTGCTTCTCCCTCTCCCTCTGCTCCTCCTTCCGCTGGTTCTCTCTTTCTCTCTCTCATGCTCACTCTCCCTCTCTCTCTCTCAAATAAATAAATAAATAAAATCTTAAAAGAAATGAAAATATCAATAAAATTTTTAAATGTCTACTAGTGGTCCAAGTCAAACTGCTGGGTTTCTGTGATATTTGCTCTTCTCCCCTAAACAAGACAGAACTCCAGGTGCTGAGACCAGGCTGGGGGATGATGTCCCAGAGCCTGGGCCTAGCAGCTGAGGCATGTGTTCGAAAGAGTGAAGGAGAAAACCAAAAAGAAAGTCGGGTAGACTGTTTAAAAAATGGTAGTTCACCACAGTGGGTGAATCCACATATAAGGCAAAAGGACAGATTCCAGAGAAAAGTAAAAACTAAAAGTTTTTTTTTCTAAAGATTTATTTATGTATCTGAGAGAGAGAGAGGAGTGGGAAGGGCAGAGGGAGAGAGAGAAAATCTCAAGCAGACTTTGAGCAGAGCACGGAGTCTAACGCAGGGCTCGATCTCACAACCCTGAGATCATGACCCGAGTCAGAACCAAGAGTTAGATGCTTAACTGATTCCGCCACCCAGGCGCCCCCAAAATTAAAAGTTTTGAGCTGGGGGATCGAAGGCTCGGGAAGCCAGGCTTTAAAGACATCTCTGATTCTGGGTAGGAGTGACACCAGGCATACCCTGGAAAGCAAATGACAAGTGTTCTTTGTGCATGAAGCCTCAGAGAGGTACCAGTGGCCAGTGTGAGATCTGGAGATTGGTTGGGAATTGAGAAAACTGCAGGGTCAGAAGAATTTGTGAAGGCGAAAATCAGCAGTCAGCAGAGCATGCTGTGGAAGCCAGGTAGGCACCATTTACATAGAAAATAATAACTGGGGGCCACTGGCATTGTGCCATGGAGTGTCCTGGGCTAAAGACATAAACTAAAACTGGGGCTCCTGGGTGGCTCAGTCAATTAGCATTCCAACTCTTGATCTCAGCTCAGGTCTTGATCTCAGGGTCGTGAGTGCAAGCCCTGTGTTGGGCTCCATGCTGGGTGTGGAGCCTATTTAAAAAAAAAAAAGGAAGAAACTAAAACCACTTTCTTAGGAAGACATCATAAGGAAAAATACATTCCAGAGAGATTAAGAATCTAAATGTAAATGAATTGAAAAGTACTGAAAAAAAAAAAAACTTTTATAATTCTGAGAAGACCAAAGCTTTACATAAAACCCAGGGCCATAAAAATGAAATGTTGACAGATTTAAACTACATATAAATGAAAAGCATTATATGATGTAGGAACAAAATTAAAAGACATAATAGAAAGAAATCTTTGCAATATATACAATAGGCTCCCATTATATTAAAGTGTTTCTATAAATCAATTTGTAAACTCCAAATTAAAAAAGTGACAAAAGCTATGGACAGGACATTTAGAGAAGGAAATAAATGTGTTGTCTAATGATCAGCCTTACTAGTGAGCAAGTAAATGCAAAATAAAACAATGAGATATTATTTTCATCCTGCAGATACATAAAAGTTGAAAAGGTTAATAAAAGTTAATAATTAAGGGAGAAAAAGCACAACTTATATATTATTGATAAGAGTATAAACTAGTTCAACTTTCTTGGAAGACCACATGGCAATAGGGCAGCATCTATCAACATATAAAATGTGCAAATCATTCAACATAGCAATTAAATATGAAGTCTCTTTTACAGAAGTATTTGCACCTAAAAACAAAGATTTACATGTAAAGCTGTTCATTGAAACATTTTGTGTAATAGAAAAAATAGTGAAAGTACTCTGGTCCTTCATAGAATATTAAGTTATGGTACATTCATACAATATGAACTGTTGTACTTGAGAATTATTCTATGATAAATTGAGTATAAAAAATACATCACGGAGAAATGTAATGCAGAGTACTAACAAAATTGGAACTGGATATATGTACGTGTGTGAGTACACGTGTGTATGCACATAGGAGGCTGGAAACATACATACACAACTCTCAATAGTGATACCTCTGATAAGAGGGATGAGAAAGGTCAAGAGAAGTTTCCCTTTCTACTATTTTCCTGTTTATATTCATTATAAGCAAAAGGTGTACTTTGTAACTTAAAAAATGTAGGAGGGACACCTGGCTGGCTCAGTTGAAAGAGCATGGGACTCTTGATTTGGGGTTGTGAGTTCAAGCCCCACAATGGGTGTAGAGATTACTTAAAAATAAATAAATAAATAAATAAAATAGAAATTCTAAAAAAAAAAAATGTGTAGGAAAAGAGTCTGGGGAGATCCAAAAGGGAATGGGAGCCTTGGGTTACCCATTTGTGAAGGGAACAATGCCATGAACTCCTCTCCTAAGGCAGAGGCTGTGTGCTCCCTGCTGCTTGTGGATTGGCAGGACTCATATTGTGGGCTTTGGTGGCCCAACAGGTGCTGGTACATTCCATGTCTAGCCTGGCACTAGCCTTTGGAGAGGAATGAATAAAGCAATGACAGTCTCTGGAAGATACCATAAGAAATCCTGGCTTTGAGGACTAGCCTTTGAGCTCCCAAAGCTAGGGAAGATGGAGATTCTTGTGATCTAGGATTTGTTTATTCAATTTCTTTGAAGTTAATGCCAAGAATCCAAATGGTTTAAACTGCCCTAAATATTTCTCCTCATTCGGTCTGTTAGTCCATTTATAGATGTGTGTGTCTATCTGAAAAAAAAAAAAAAAAGATTGGTTTCTGCATGAGACTCAATATCTTAATTACAAAAATCCCCACTTGGATTCCACTGGTAACTTAAATGATTAAGCATTCTGTTCTCAGAGTTTTGAGATCTGTATTGAATTAAAGAATTTGCCTCAAAACCTAAGGCAAACCCGAGGCACTATATCTAATAGAAAAGTTCAGTCTGAGTTTAGGTATCAAGGCATTTTTGAAGGATTGAACTATTCATCTAAATAACCATTCAAAAAGCAGAGAGTTGTGCTCTAGACTTTTCCTTGATAGCATTGTTCTATTGTTTTTAAATGCTGAATAAACTTTTGAAAAATACTAATTTAGAAATGTATTTTTTTTTAGATTTTGCATTTGCGAATAATGTAGACAAGTAAGTGATTTTTTACCTTTACTTTTATTATCAAATTATTTCATGATTGTGTTGACTTTAAATTATCTTCATTTCCCAAAATAGATTTTAATGAGTTAAAAAATGAATAACTTCAATAGATTGGGAAAAAAATGCCATCTTTCTGTGATAAATAAGCTGAAGCTATTTATTCATATTTGATATACTTATGTTTTTAATATTATTATTATAACCAGAAAAAAATGAAAGGCTGATTCAATGCATAAAAAATAAAATCTAAGACTTACTAGCATATTACAAATATTTAATATTCCTCCAAATGTGTTCAGTGAGAGCAGTTATGTAGATTAACATTTTATATTTTCTGGAATTTATATTTTCAATAGCAAATACTTCATTAAACCATGGAAAACATTTCAAATTCATGAATATTGATAAACTTTAAAAATCATCATTCTTTTGCACTTCGGTATTTTTTTCTTTGGATTCAGATTGAAAAATATTATCCCCAAGCACATTTATAAAATAATAGCAAAATGTAGAGAAATTATAACGTTCTAACAAAATGTTCTTAAGATACTAATAATGCACACATCTACAAATATTTTAATCATCTCATTTAGCACTGGTTTCAAATCATAAACACATTCAAGTGTGAGACCTAAACTGGAATAGCCAATCCCAAATATGTTCAAAAACTGAATTTAAAAAATAAACAATATATATGGTAAAACTAGCATTCCTTATTCTACAAGTCATTTGTCAGTAGAGGCCCAAAGTTATCTGTTAGCGGTACGAGGCTAAAAATGGCATAGAAAGGCGGGGGCGGGGCACCTGGGTGGCTCAGATGGTTAAGCGTCTGCCTTCGGCTCAGGTCATGATCCCAGGGTCCTGGGATCGAGTCCTGCATCGGGCT